TGAGCATGGCGGTGTACCTATTACCTATTTCTCCATCTGAAAAAAAAAGTTCTGATTTAAAAAAAGCCTGAATCCTAGAATTTAAGGGAAGGTTTCGAAGTGTTTTCCTGTGACCCCAGCTCTGTGGGCCTGGGCGGGTGCCTCACTGCTGCCTCCGCTTTCTCACCCCGAAAGCAAGAAAGGAGCACTGGGAGTGGCGACTTCCAGCCTCCTCCACTGAGGGTGCCGGGGGAAGAGGTGGGAGGGTGGGAGGGCAGCCGGGCGGGCAGGCGCCTCCCTGAGTCAGGGCACTGCACAGGTGATGGTGGTGTTCTACCTGCAGACACCTCCAGAGCACAGAGTAGGAACAGCAGCCGCCAGAGGCACCCCCAGAGCCGTCTTTTGGGCACTGACAACAAGCCTGCATCAGGATGGGGGGAGCTCCTGCAATCTCCTGTTTGTGTAACTGACATCCCCACCTCTGGAGAGGGCGCCCAGCAGGGGCGGCTTGAGAACCTCCCGGGAGCCAGGGGCTCTCCATGCTCAGGACCTGCAACACAGGCGACCGGTCACTAAGCACCCAGGCATGAGACTGTGCAGATGCCTCCCCAGAGGCTGCCAGGACAGCGTGAGGACCTGAGCTCAGCAGGAGGGGGCTCTGAGGCCGTGCGTGGAGAGAGGTTCCTGACCCGTGGGCTGTGATCCTGAGACCGTTTAAAGGGAAGGAGAGACGAGGAATCACTCGGGGAGAGTCCGGCTCCCAGAACTCCACTGCTTGTACCTTTATAAGGACAGGGTCTTACGATGTTGCCCATTTGTCTCAAACTCCTGGCCTCCAGCAATCCCCCTGCCTCTGTGTCCCACGTCACTGGGGCTCTGCGTGTGGGCCACATTGCACAGCTATGAAGGGAAATTTAAATTCAGTGGGTTAAAAAAATTTGGAAACACCTTACAGTTTACAGCACTTTTATTTGAACTTATTGATTTATTTGCTCCTCATAGCAACAGCATGGGTTAGACAAAAGTATCACTGTCTTGATTTTATAGTTGAGAGAATTACCTAAGACGGTTATCTAACGCCCACTTTCTTGTTCTGACATCTCTTTTGTGTTTGTTTGGACAGGCTGGAGTGCACTGGCACGATCATGGCTCACTGTAGCCTCGACCCCCTGGCCTCAAGGAATCCGCCTGCCTCGGCCTCCCAAAGTACTGGGACCCATTGCCTATTACATGGTCTTCAACCAAAAGCCCCCTCGCCCTTGCAGTTAGCCCCAGGCACCGTGTGGAGGGCTGTACCAAAAGCAGAGCGCAAGGCAGGCTCGGGGCAGGGGCAGGGATGACCGCCCAGCTCTCACCTGCTTCAGTGAAGGGACTGGGCAGGGTTCCTCTGTGCTGAGCTGAGCTAAGGGCCAGGCGGGCTCAGCCTCAGCCCTCAGGCATGCGTGCTGGGGGACACGTGGGCCCTCACCCCTCGCCCCCCACCCCCCACAAGGCGCCTTTAGGGGATCTGGCCTCTGACCTCGCAGTCCATGGCCTGGGCAGCGCGGCAGCTCCAGCTCACTCCTGGCTCACGGTGTCCCAGCAGCGACCTGGAAGAGGACACACATGGTGGGCGGCTGCTCCTGGGAAGCCCTGCTCAGGACCCCTCGACAGGTGCACACAGCTGGCCTGGGCTCCAGAAACGGCGGCTCAGCCCAGGTCCTGGCTCAGCCAGCACGCCCCGGGCTTCTTTGTCCTTGGTCAGAGCCAAGCTTTGTTCTCCTCATTCCAGAGACTGCCCAGGCCCTCAGCACCCTGGGGCTGATCCCACACCTGAGTTCAGCCTTCCCATGCCATGCCATGCCAGGAAGACCTCAGGCATCAGGGAAACAGGGCCTTAATCTCACGAATGCCATAAAATGTAAAATGTCTATAAAGAGAGATAATGAATTTGACGATTAAAAGATTAAAGCTTCAGGCTGGACGCAGTGGCTGGCGCCTGCAATCCCAGTACTTTGGGAGGCCAAGGCGGGCGGATCACTTGAGGTCAGGAGTTTGAGGCCAGCCTGGCCATTGTGGTGAAATCCCGTCTCTACTAAAAATACAAAAATTAGCTAGGTGTGGTGGTGCATGCATGTAATCCCAGCTACTCGGGAGGCTGAGGCAGAACTGCTTGAACCCGGGAGGTGGAGGTTGCAG